ACCAGCAGTTCTTTCCACAATGGTCAGATTGTTCACTCGATGTGGGCTGACAGAAAGAAAAAGAAGAAAGAAAAAAGAGAGAGGGGGTTTCGGATTGACGGTCCGTCTGTGTGTGTGTGTATGTGTGTGTGAGAGAGGGTTGGCCAAAGCGTCTGTTTTTTACATTTTTACACCCTCTCCCTGGTTGCTCTGCAGTTGCTCTGTGTGTGTCAGATAAAGAAAGTGACATTTGAATGAAGTACCCTAACAGGGGTCAAGGCCTCTATATCAACCATGGGATTAGGTCACACACACACACACACACACACACACACACACACACACACACACACACACACACACACACACACACTAGAAAATGTATTTTCATTAATTCTGATAATTCCATGATTTGTTCAACTTTTAAGCAAAGAATCCCCCAAATTGGCTCATTTACAGCTTTTAAAGCTCCAGGAAACTTTCTCAGGACTATTTAAGACCAAATAATCGCATGATAGAAAAAAACAAATAAATAAATGATAAGATAATGACAATTAGTGGTAACACTACAATGGAAATGTATTATTAAGACAAGTATTCTGTTATTATCTCTGGTTAAATATACTGAATACTCAAACATTGTAATGCAGTAAATTGATTCAGGCCACAGTGATGATTTCATTGAATAACCTGTTCATTTTATCCATAGTACGCTTCTCAATTCATATCATTATGACACACACTTAACATTATATATATATATATATATATTTTTAAAGTTCGCCCAAAACGACGCCGTCAGCCGGTCCGCCCCCACAAGGTTGTAAACCTTGAACACCGTGCTCCTGTCCATCACCTAACAGAAACCAACCATCTGAGTGGAATGCTACAGTTGCCTTTATGCAAAATGCTGGAGTTACGTGTGTGAGTGTGTTTTGCATTCATACATATGACATCAGATTTTTGTGTTTTTCACATTCAGTACACATGGTAACGTATTGACTAGGCACACAAATTGGGCACCTACACCCACCTCCACATCACAGCAGCAAGCCCCTAAGAGGAGGTGGGGAGATTTCAACCAATCCCAACAAGGCATAGCAAAGGGGTGGAGGCCAGAGCGTCAGAGTAAGCAAACAAGGTCAGAAGGAGCATCTGTTGCCCAATCAGAGCATCTGGAACATCTGGCATCCAATAAACAGCAGTTGAACTCTGACTCCGTTGACTCCCCAGACTTCTCAAACCTTCATCTCTGTAGAACTGTCGTCTTAGATCTGATACACCTGCTGCACACCTGTACAGGTTCCTCTGCATATCATGGCGATTGCAGACATTCCTCTTGTAGGCAGGGAGCAAGTTAACCATGTTGATGAACAATGTGTGCGTGCGCACGGTGCATGAACAGATGCAGAACAGTGGGACACATGGTGTGGAACACACTGTTCTATTATGGGCCATCAAATGGGAATAGAGGATTTTCATGTTTATTTAAAAAATTGCTTTATTTCTCAGTTCCTCTCTATTCTGAGACTCAACTGTGCTGACTGCAGCGGTAAAAACCATCACACACGGAGCACAACAGCATTAAATCTGTGTGTGTGTATGTTTGTGTGTAGGGCAGTTGGTTTCTTTGCACGGACACAAAGCAGTGGGCTCAAACAGGAAGCTTCACACACACACACACACACACACACTCCCTGTGTGATCGGTGTATGTTTGAGCCTCACTCCTGAACCTTAGTTTCACACAAACATCCTTCCTGGCTGATTAGTTTAAGCTCTGTTGGCATTTTTTAATTCCCCCCCCCCCAGCCTTCCCATTTTCCCTTTTGTTTCCAGCACTCTTGACAGACATCCAAACGCACACACGTTAATCTCACCACCCTGAACGGTGGTGTTATTGAGTTTCGGTGCACCACTGGACCACTGGAAGAAGAACACATAAGCAAAGCCCAAAAATATCATGTCAGCGAAAGCATCAACGTTACAATAACAATTGAGCTTTCCTCCGTTTCGTCCCCCACAAGTTATGTCAGAGGACCCCACAGCAGTACCGCTGCCTCCTTGACCAAACACACACAAATACTCGCTGAGCCGAGTATCTGTCAAATGTTTTTGCACTGCTCTGTGTCAGATAAAGAAAGTGACATTTGAATGAAGTACCCTAACAGGGATCAAGGCCCCTACATCAACTATGGGATTAGGTTACACACACACACACGGAAATGTATTTTCATTAATTGTGATTCGTTTTTTAAGCAAAGAATCCCCCAAATTGGCTCATTTACAGCCAGGAAACTTTCTCAGGACTATTTAAGACCAAATAATGCCTTGATTGAGAAAAACAAAAACAAAAAAATATAAAATAATGGCAATTAGTGGTAACACTACAATGGAAATGTATTAGCCAAAATGTACCAGAAAAATGAAACATCTGTCAAATGGTTTTAAAGACTCAGCACTCAGTTCCTCCACAATGTCCTCCACTGCCTGGATCGAAGCCTCTCATTTAAATGTCCTGGCGAGCGTGTCGACAGATAAACAAGGGGCGGTGCTGATAGCTGGTGGATGTGCATTGACTTGATTAATAGGAGGAAGTCTTTAATAGTGACACACCTCAGAGAAACTGGGAGTCTTTCTAAAGCGTTTTTTTTTTTTTAATCGATTCAACTCTGAATAAGTTCTGTGAGCTACGAGGGGAAGGTGCCAAGCTCATTCCTTGACTCCATTTATGCGGTCTGTATAAGAATTTACCATTCATAGCGCTCTTCAAATGGGTCTAACTCACTTTCGCTTTTATCTTTTTTGTCTCCTCTTTCTTTTACTCGTTTTTTCTGTGTCTCTAGTTTCTCTCCTTCTCTCTCTGTCAGACGCTCTCCCTCACCCCAGAGTTGCTTCACAACAACTCTAATTATTTTTCTCAAAAACATAATCGCCCTATATCGGCGTGGGGAGGTTCTTGAAAATAATCAAGACCAATGCATTCCCCAAGTGCTTGAGTCCTTTTTTTGTTTTTAAGTGTACATCACGCATCTCCCTCTCCTTGCAGCAGAGATGTACGATCGTAAACCACAGGAGGATTTACATTTATTTCCCCCCTTTCATGCATGCAGTTGGTGGCTGCAGAGCAAAAAACAAGATGATACTGCTTGATACCCTCCATAAGAGAATATCTAACAGCACTGAATAAGTTAATGACAGACTGTCTCCCAGAGAAAGACTGCTGGCAATGTCACAGCAAACACACGGAGGCGCCTCTACAGATGGAAAAACCCACACACCAGTAATGAGGATGCACAGGTTTCCTTTCATCTGTTCATTCCAGATAAGTCAGACGGTATGTGGGGGAAAAAACGTGTGGACAGAGCGAGAAAAAGCTGTTGTTTCAGGAGCTGTGAAGTAACTGACAGGAGGAATCGATGACGGGGGTCGATGGACAAACATTAAGTCCACGAGCTGACAAACACAGCAGACAGCTCCCACAATGCAGACGGAGAGCCGTCACACAGGCTGGCGAGCATAAACAGCACCCTACCAGGACATCGAGACAGAGTACGCTAATGTCGCCGTGGTGACAGCTGAAGGGGGGCCAGCAGATAATAAGAGGTGGCTAACAATGAGCTGAGTCGAGTTACCCTGGAGCCATCCCTCCACTCAATTTAACTCACGAGGCTACCTGTTGGACCATGGGACCAAATCAAAGCCTGGCCCAGATTTTGGGCCGGGCTGTGAGATATTAAAGGATAAATTTGGGTGTTGGTGCTGAAACGTGACACACTCGGAAAAGGTTTGATGGGTATGAAATTGACCTCAATTCCTTTGCACCCTGACTTTCCCTCTATTCTCTGGGATAAAAAAGGGAGGGGGGGGGCTTCCAGGTGAGAGCGTTGTAGCTGAAACCTGGTAGCGGAAGTGTGCGTTCTTAAAAAAGGACATGAGAATTGTTTGCAGTGAAAACACGCCATCCATGAGAGAGTAATATCCTGCCCCCCCACAACCTCGACCCCCACTAACCTAAACTAGATGTGATAAGGAGTCACTGCGCTCTGACTGACTGACTGTCCAGCTGAATGCATGCATGCATGCTCCTGTCTGTAAACAGAGTCATCCACAAACACACTCCTGAGACAGATATATACACACATGTATTATTATTATTTTTTTGTCTCACACCACACCAGAGGTGTGTTTTTACAACAGGCAGTGTGAGATGTATCTGCCGGCTGGCGACGGTCTGTGGTTGTACTGTATGTATGCTCTATATTATTGTCTGTGTTTTATAAACAGCTGACACTTTACCTCCCCAAGACAAATGTCCTGATATACAGACATGTACTTACTACATATTAACAGTAAACATCTGAACGCCCCTTTCTAACCCCTACGCTACGATGTCTCGTGAGGCAGTGGGCAGAGGCGACACCAATGAACTGGGAGTAAAAAAAGGAAGGAGGCCATGGCACAAATGGATCATATAATTGCAGCATGCGTTTTAAGCCATGCACGCACAGGCACGCGCAGCATTCACGGAGGGACGGCGGCGCAAAACAGCAGCAGCAGCACGGGCACGCAGGAGACAGCGAGGGGGAGAAAACGCCCTGTCTTCCATGTCGAAACGCCCCAGCCCTCTGGGCGGTGTGCACCCTACTCACACAGGCTTTTCTTTAGATACCATACAGATCCACATCTGGACAAAATAACACAGATATCTTGCGAGTGCCCCCCCCCCCCCCCCCCCGTCTTTTTTAAGGAAAAGTGTGCTGCGTCCGAAGCGAGCAAGCTTTTACGGCCACCTATTGGGGAGTTCTGGGTTGCGAAAAATGGTGTTATTGGACCGTCCACATCCGTATGTGGGAAAATAAACTTTTAAAAATGGGGATGGTGAAATGCAAAGGGTAGCGTGACCCGTATGCGCGATAGGAGAGGTCCAGAAAACCATGCAGTCAGCCGTATCGAGGAAAAGCTCAATATGTAGAAAGGAGGCGCGGATTTAACGTTTGAGAAGCTTTTAAAAACTTGTACCTTTAACTTGGGTTTCATACTCGGCCACTATCTCCTTGTCTTTTCGGAATTTTGCCGGAGACGTCATGGCTGAGTTTGGAGATCAAACCGCTTGCCCTCCCGAGCAGCGAAGTCAATCTGGTCACAATTGATTCCCTCCTTGCAAAAAAGAAACGTAATCAGCCGGAGACTTGGTTCGACGAACCACTGGAACTGGTTTTGAAAAGAGAAAAAAAAGCCCAGATGCGAATGTCCAGCTCGTCAGCGTAGTCGCCGCTCCGCGTTGTGTCGCTGGCTGCGTTCAGTCGGGGCGCATTGTGAGTTTGGCGCTGCTGTGGTTGTGTGCTCCCATCCGCCGCCGCGCCTCGCCTCCTCCTCAAAACCGGTTATGCTGCAAACAACTTCAAGTGAGGGGAGATTCATTCCCCTTTTGAACAAAAAAACACATCGATAGTATGTCAGTAAGCACTTCCAGACGGTTTTCTCTCTCTCTCTCTCTCTCTCTCTCTCTCTCTCTCTCTTTACGCCCTGAGCGAGCTCCCGCCTGTCTGAAGTAAACTGTCCTCTGCCCCCCCCCGAAGTAAGAGAGGAGTAAATCGGAGGGGTGAGTAAAGGAGAGGCTGGTCTCGACTGGTCAGCCACAGTGCGCAGGACAGGCACGATTACACATGGTTAGTATTCATTTAGTTGCAGACAATACATTTGTTGTCGATTGTCGCAGACGTCCCACACGTGTGAGTCTCGGTCAAGGATGCAGGAGGATTTGAAGTGAGCAAGTTGATTTAATGGCCACTTCGTATCCTTTCTTTAGGGTACAATCGTTGATGGGAGATAATATACGGCATATGTCCTAATGATGAATTTGTCTGACTGTCTATGCCCACTGACCACAATGGAATGCATTTGCTTGAGTTTGTACTCCTAAAGCACAAAGTCTGACATAATTAGTGTGAAAAGTTGCTGTCGATTTAGTCTCACTCACATCTCAACGCATCGAGTTTCAACAAAGCGACAGCACCGCCTTAGGTGACGATTGGCCAACTAATGTCTTCAATGACAGGCAAATCCGCCAATCGGGCTTCAGCATTTTCAAACATGGGCTTTTCTACGATAATTTCCAGCCAATTAGCGCGTGACCTTGTAATGAGGGTGCCCAATGGCTTCGGTTACCATGGGTAGTATCCAATCAGAGTGCGATATGAGTCTTTTAAAGCTAGTTTCAGGAAGTACCCATAAATACCAGGAAGTTGTAAACAAAGCTGACAGCAATTTTGTTCGAATGGGTGCTGAGCCAGTCGTGTAAAACAGGCTAGGTATAAACAATACAGCTAGCACGTTTGTTTTTGTATATAAATGATTTCGTGGAAATAGACGCATTCTGTGCGTTTATTCTACTAGCTGACGGTAGCGTTAGCCTTCCGTTCCGTCGTTAGGAAAGGCTGACTTTTGCACAAGGACGTCAATGTTATGAGCGGTAACGCCTGCGAAGTTAGCGGCAAATCGAGGCGTATTATCCCGAATTGAACGGATAGTGAGCAGCATCAGCACCGCGATTCTTGTTTTTGCAGCATCGGCTGTTAACAAAAAAAAACAACTTTAGCGGGACAACGATGTCTACATCTAACGCTAATTTCAAAAACAAGTGTGTGACCCAGGTGAACTGCATATTTTGTGAAAGTCTGCTGTGCACGAGAGGCATGAAAGCCGTTCTGCTAGCAGACACTGAGATTGAGCTCTTTTCTACTGACATACCCCCCAATAGGTAAGTGCTAATCTACGTTAGCAGTGCGGCTAGCCTTTGTTTATGTCTACTGCTGTTGCCAGGGTGAAGTGTAGTTGAGACAACCCGCAGCTAATTGACACCTAACTGACCATTAGGTGGCTATTAACCATTAATTGTTTGGTTTTTTTGCATTTCAAATGTGAAGACGATGCAGGTTTTAACCTTTCATGTCTTTGTTATTGTCATTACACGCGCCCTCCCCCAAGAACTGTTGACTTTGTGGCCAGCTGCTACTCTACTGAAAGCTGCAAATGCAAACTGAGAGACATCGCATGTCTCAAGTGGTATGTAAAGTTCTTCTCTAGCCCGCAGGGTTTGCTTTAGGAAGACCATCTGCTAATGTGAGACGTTGATAAACAAAGCCCAGCCACCACGGTTAGCACAGGAAACCGGTTAGGTCTCATAATATACACCTGTGGTGGTCAATTACTTTGTTTTCATTGGTTTTTATAGACGCCCTGTTCTTTCAGGAAGCAAACTGTCAAATACATTTACATTCTCTGATCATCCCGAATTGAATAATCCAAAAATATTTTGAGATATAATAAGGATGTTATAATGATATAAAAGTGTCAAACAATGAATTCTCAAAATAGATGCTGATTCAATTTTCTGTGATGCAGCTAGAGATTCATGGTTTAAGCTCTGTGCATCATTATTAAGGATTTTTTGCCTTTGCATTTAAAGGAGAGTTTGGTGCTGCATTCAGGCTTTATGGAACCTCTTTTGTATTGTCAGGCCTTTGTTGTTGATGTTGTTGTACACGGTACGAAAACAAACATCTGTTAGATAATAGACACCTGCCAGTGGATTAGCACTTTTCAAAAGTGCCCCTAGTAAACTGCTGACACACGTTTCTTCTTTATTCTCTCCCCCTTCCCCTTTCAGTGGTAATGTTGTGGGCTATCACGTGGTGGCCCCCTGTAAACCCTGCCTGCTCTCCTGTAACAATGGCCATTTCTGGATGTTCAACAGCGAGGCTGTGTCTACTCTCAACAGACTGGATGTGACAGGTCAGGAGGAACATATTTGATAACATTGGATTTTTTTGTTGTTGCAGTTTTGCTCTGCTTAATGTGTTTCATAAGCGGTCACCCTTCCAATGTGTATACAGGTCTGAATCTGCTCCTGTGGGGAGATCTTCCAGAACTGGATGACAGTGAGAATGAAGAATCCGAAAGCCCATTAGAGGAGGAGTGTATTAGGTAGGCGCTGAAAGAGGACAATGTGAGAGACCTGGAAGGCCAACATTTGATGTGGACAAGAGTGCACAAACCATGTTTGAGATAAGCGAGAAAAGAGGTGCTTCAAGGGTAATTTAATACTGAATCAAATAGGGCTGAAAAGTTATGCTATAGGGGTTAAAAACTGACACCACGGTGCCACACAAGTGTTTTGCCTTTGACAGCCAATGGAGAACAGCTGCTGTGACATCACTTGATTGAGGTGTGGCCAAAAACAATACACAAGTCAACGATTACAGAAAGGTGCAGCAAAAGTTGTTTGCTGGGTGTATTTTAGTGTTGACATCCACTCTAACCTGTGACCATGCCTTTACTCATCACTTTTCACTGTTGAAAGCACAGACACACATTTTCTTTACTCTCTTATTCTTTTCTTTGCAAATTTGCATGGGTTACTATGAAACATGGGTGACTAACCAATTAGACGACTTAATCTGATGTATTCCACGTCTCGTGGCAGAGTCGCCACTGAGCTCATGGTTTTAATCGGCCTTGTGAGAAGTTTGGGCCGTGGTACGAGAAGTCAATCGAACTTATAAACGGATGCTGTGCTTTTTCACTCTTTACAGCTGGTCTAATTTTTCTGATAAGATGACCACACTTTGCCTTTTTAATGGCAGTTTTTGATCTGTACATTACATATGCTGTAATAAGCAAAAATCTCTCAAGAGTTGCGTCTTCAAGGCCTATATTCTCTCTGTGTGGCTGAGGGCTGCCAGAACGACCTAGTTGTGTACAAATCTATGTTCCCTTGCAACTAAACTGCACCCTCAATTATATTTCAAGGGAAACCGTTTCTTCTAGCAGCAGTTTTAATGACTTTAAATTAATAAAAATGGAAAAAAAAAAACTTAAAACACTGCAATTTGACTTTGTTAGGTTTATTGTTTATATTTAGGAAACCAATACTTCCTCTAATGTGACACTTATTTGTGAAACATCATCATTTGGCAAACTTAATCCACAACAAAGCATGTTTCCTCAAAGCGATATTTTTTGTCGAATGGGAACATCATATTTAGGAGACCGGACTGGGCTGGACCGCTCTGTTGGAGAGCTTTTTGATTCCTATGTATTAGAGAAATGGCACAATGGGTGAATGGTACTTGGATGAATATAAGGTACATTTGATTAAGGTCACCTTTACGATCTGACATTCGTGAATCTGAAACATTTCGATATGCTAATCCAGTTTTACAGTTGATAACAGCAGTATGTTCTTAACACCCAGATGAATATGACCGTAGCAGTATCTGATACTAAAGTACTTACTTATACGTTGGTGTGCTTCCACAAAGGCTTGGAGCGGCTGCATATCGAAGTTTAGTTTTTTTGGTCTCAAGGAATACGTTCCCAGTTTCATGATAATATTGCTGGTGATAATATTGATGACGATGATGTAGGAAAGCGAGAATGGGAGCTAACAAAGGAACACTTTTGCAAAACGTCTGAGTTCTAAATGGATTCTGGTGTCCACGCTCGGTTTTTGTTACTGTTCAGTTTCATGTAGCAGCGTAACTGTAGCAGCTGAAGAAAACTCCCAAAGAATCTTGAAACATATCAAATACTAATTGATATTTAATTTACAGCCCGGCTAACCTTCTAAAAAAGATAGTTGTGTCATTTAAGGCCAGCTTATTGAATAACATTTCACAATTTGAAGTAATTTGTAGTGAAGCTGAGCTGACCATGAAACTCCAAGCCCTCAATATTCTTTTGCCTTACTGACCCTAACAAGGAACCTTTTGTTGCTCTGTGGACTCGAGGTTGATGCTGCATGGTGGTTGGTCAGTTCTTCTCCTCAATCCGTTGTGTCATACACATGCCTACACAACCTCCGGTCACGAGGGACGTGTCCTGTTTTGTCAGTGGCGTCCTCCTGTTATTGTCTCGCGTCTGTGTCCTGCGGATGCTACGGCCTTGTCTTAATGCAACAGTGCTTCTGTGAGTGGATGAGATTTGCCTACGTTGTCGGAATATATAGAATGTCGCTTCTTACCTGAAGAAGGATGGAGGAGGTAGCCTCCGGGTGTGGGAAGGTGCACAAGGAAGTGGAAATCTTCACTTTATTCACTTTTAAATTATAACTGACAGTCTGCTACAATTGCACACCAAATGCTTTTAATATGGTCGACCATTAGGAACCATTTTATTAGCCAGATATTTATCAAATCAACAAACCAAATACCTGTAACCACATACTTCCTTTTTTAAGCTTTGTTTACAAATGAATTAGTCCGTATTGTGCTACAGTACTTTTTTGGTCAAGTATTGGACCTTTAATTTGTGTTGTGCTTTTGTGTTGTATGTTTGTATGTTTAGTTTTACCTCACGAAGGAATTACTTGCGAGCTTCCTCTGGCTGGGACAATTGTCATGATAATCAAACAAAATTTATTTAAATGGCTGTTTCTGATGTGAATAACTTTGATTGACATGCCCTGCTGAAAAATTGTATATTTTGGAATTGCACTAAAACTGCATTGGTAAAAAAAAAAATATATATATATGTATATATATTATTTGTTTTGTATGCTTGTTAAGTTAATAAACTTTCTTTTTCAAAATATTTTAGATGCCCTTTTACTTCTGTCATAATTTCTTGGAACCTATTTTTTCTGATTTTAATCTGTTAACTTCTATCTCCATACCGATCTGTGTTACTTTCATGTGGCCTGAGACCACTAGTTCTTTCTTTCCCAGACGTAAGGTTGTTAATGTGTCTTTGCATGCCTCCTACTCAAGAATCTCTCTCTGCTGCTGTCGGGACACGTATGGGGCAATTTAAGTAGTGAAGGTGAGAGAAATCATAAAACAAATAGTTGTGGTTTGCCGTGTTTTCTCAAGTAACTGCAGTGCCTGCCCTGCATTGAAATCGCACCCTAAGAACATCAGCCGTGTTGGTGTTTAACACACCAACTGTTTTCTGTACCATTCAGTATCTTTCTTAGCGCCCCCCCAGAGAGAACCAAAGGAAGCCCCTGGTTTGGATCTTCTTTGACTTGAAGTAACACTAAACACATTTAGTAACATGAAAGACAACCAGATTCCTTCAACCCAGAGGAGACACACAAAAGATGTTTTTGTTTGCATGGCATCGCGTGAATGTGCATCCGGGTGTTGCTGAGTGTGAGAATGTGTACATAGCGCTCAGCACATAGTAGCCTTCTTAAATCTAATGTGCTACGTCTCTGCCCAAATGACAGCCAAGCTCAGGCAGAATGAAGAACATGCTGATACAAGTCCAACCGATCACGCTCTATCAGGCCAGACTCCGCATTCATAAACCGACTACGCAGGATGGGAACATCACCTCTGGTTGACCTGCTTGCAATTCAGACATTAGACATGATGCAGCTCGTGATAACAAGGCCCTACAGGGCCGTCAGCCAGAGGGATGTCAATCACCAGGGTGGATTGTGGCACAAATATAACGCCATATTTTCCCAGTTTGAATCACAGCAGGGACATGAACACCTTTATTTGTGATGGGTTTTTTTAAGGCTGAAATGAACCTGATTTTTTTTTGTTTTTAAAACAATTGCTTGAAAGAACTCTGGCAGGAAGCTAGCAGGGGAATCGGGCAGATAGGTACGCAGCTAATATGGCAGCTGCTGTGTGTAAATGCTGGACAGGTGTGTGGAATGTAGAGCAGTTACAAGCAAGGAGGTGTGCAACTGTTTTCCATAAACCGCTGCCAAGTGAGCCAACTCTAAGATAGTATAGTATTATTCTTTATTATCAAGACTCCCTTCTTCTTCAGCAAACATGGAAATTGACCTTTTTTTGTTGTGACTATTCAAGAAGCGCAGGTGCAACCAATAACATTAATGACAGCTTTGTTTCATTTAAATGTCCTTTTTAGCCAGCATGGAATTGAATTCATTTTATTCATTCCGCCTGTGCTTTTCCTGCTTTGACTGTTACAAAAAGCCTTTATAACAATCAAGTAGTTAGGTGCTCAGGAATAAGAAAAAAGAGCATATTGTGTCATACAAGACCACAGTCAAGTACTGGATGAAATTAACATAGTTCTTTCCACATTAGAAAATAACCAATTTTTCCGGGCTTTGAAAATAACAGTTTTCAAAATTTACAACAAAATGAACAATTTCTTCTCAAATGTATCTGTTTGAACCAAATGAAAGTCCCAAGTAGAAACAGACTGTTTTCAGTTCCATTAAAACATTCTTAAAGGCTCTGCACAGGTGTCACAAGTGTTTTCAATACTGGCTTATTCGACATTGAAAAGTTAAAGGTGTGATTTGGATAAACACATCAAATTATATATTGTAGGTGTGGTGTAGGGAGTTAAACTACATAAACTCTAGCAAATAATAAATAAGCAACCACTAGGAGACCCATTTGATGGTTTGGTGAAAAGTCCCACATAGAACGCTGGCGCACTCTGCTGGATAAGAGGTGCAGTGACAATAGTAACACACGTATTGATGCATTTATTTTTAGATAAATATCTTTTAAAAGTCTGTTCTTCTTTCACCTAACATCACATCGATACTTTACTGTTCCCAGTTATTTCTCTTAGAAGTTAATCAAGAAAGACACTTGTAAACAGTTGGTCAATCATTGTCTCTTCACTAGAAAATAATGTTGGAAACACAGGTTGTCATAGCTACACAAGCCCAACCAGCTCAGTCCTCGATTAAAGATGGTTAAGAGTGGTGGTAGTACATTTCCATAATTGAAAAATAAAAAGGTCTACATATTAATGTATGAATGTAGTACTAAACACAATTGAACTAAGGAAAGCAATAGTTTGTTTTCCTCTAAGGTCTTATTGTTAAATTTCCAAGCAAGAATATACATTATTGAGGAGGGAAGTACATGAATTATTAAATTAACAAAAAACATTACATTATATAATATTTATCAAAAATTCAATGGCCGTTATATGTTAATTTTTTTAAATAAACACATACAATTCACTTGGAATTTATGATACTGAGTGTCAATGATTAGATAAGCGCCTGGAACGGCTCAACAACTGAAAATCAAAATGAAATATAAAAGCCTTTTAATAAACAATATTACTATTCTCAAAAAAATACTTTACACATTTGTTTACATTCATATTTACTTCATAGATGAATAATAAGAACATTGCGGCTTGACCATACTTTTAACTGCCATTAAATGGTCACTTCTGGTTATCAGTTCTGAGCGATGGAAACAACTGGTTTCCGGTTGAAAAATGCTACCAACTGTGTTTTCTTAGAGTTCAGGGATGTGGTGGAAAAGTACTTTGCCTTCTCGACACTAGATGGTGGAGACGTTCCATTAGTGGAGATTACAGACGATCTGATGAGAGTAACAGCTAGATGCAAAACCTCCGTCAAATCAACATCTCGGAATAAAGACAGCTAATTTACCCCGAAATAACTTAATATTTATGATTGCTATGTCACTATACATTTAAACTGCAGTAACAGAAAGCCTTAAAGGTTGTATTCATTTCTTCTTGGGGACTACATTTAAACACCAACTCAGTATAGATACTGATAAAGACAAGCTGTGTGGCCTGTATTTTCTCCTAGAACGATTTCTCTCAGCAAAAAAAAAAATTAAACATCCCATTCCAGCTAATCTTATAAAGGGGAAGAATATTAAACTACTTGGCGTTTTTACATAAATAATTCTGCATTTAAATACTCCAAGTAGATGCCATTATTATACTTGCCAGGACAGATGAAGTGGTTCGCCATCAAATTAGCGGTCACCTTGATCATCAGAGGCAACAGCATATCTTCTAAGAAATATAAGGAGGTCCATAAAAGCTCTGCAGTCTGTCATGGTCATCTCGTGATAATAGACCTAAAGGGATGGGCTAATGTCCAGCTTTGCCTGATTGTGCATATTAATGACACCTCAAGAATTCATCACAAAAACCTTTTTTTCAGTGGGTGAGGAGGGCAGATGTTAATAAATGGTTGCGTTTATTCAC